AATTTTGTGACAGGCACTGCACTGACTGCCCACAAAGTCATCACTGCATGGAGTCCATCACCTCATCTCCTGCTGACGTGCCTCGTTTTTGACCTATACATAGTGTCATTTGGGAAAAAAGGTTTTGAGGGGAGTCACCTTTCAATCAGTTAACTTATTTCTGGAAGCAAATCACTGACTACATTCTACAGTCTCTGACAGCAGTAGCTATCACTCAGCCTGCCTGAGGTCTACCAGAAGTTAAAAATCACTAATGTGTAACAAAGACATTTTCAAATGGCACTCACTCTAAGCTACAATTTCCCTGCAAAAGGTGTGTGACCTGGGAGAGGATGCTGTTTCTTTCACTCACAGGCAAGTATGAAGCACTGTCAAGTCCTCCAGCTTCTAGAGCTGGTCGTTGACTTTGCATCCACCCAAAGGGCAAATTTCAAGTCTCTTTCTTTTGCTTGAGCACTTTACTGTCTTTGAAAGCAGAGTCAAATGGACTCTCATGTACAGACTATCTCCACTAGAAGAATATAGAATTTATGTGCTATATTTATACTCCAGCATCATTAGTGGTTCAAAACAACTATTTCCTATCACAACTGAAAATTTTAGCAATATTTTTATCTTTGGGGTGCATTAAATTAATCAAAAATAGTGTAAGGCAGTAGAAGGATGCTTACTTGGTATGTTTATGTGTTCACAAATACACTTCAATTCAGTAGCAACATTGGGTTTTTTTAGGTTTAGCAGGTAGGGGATGAAGTTGTATCACAGAATATTAGGAGTTGGAACGGACCTTGAAAGACCATCTACTCCAACCCCCCTGCCAGAGCAGAATCACCTAGACTAGGTTGCACAGGAACACATCCAGGTGGGTTTTGAATGTCTCCAGAGAAGGCGACTCCACGACCTCGCTGGGCGGTCTGTTCCAGTGCTCTGTCACCCTCACAGTAAAGAAGCTTTTCCTCAAGTGTGCTTTACTATGATCTCTCAGTCTAGGGAGAGAACCTGTAGTGCTACTATGCCATCACATCTTTGTCGTTCTCATCACAGATTTTAATCCTGTGTCATGATCACTGCCTTGGAGACAGGCCTACAGAACAGAGTAGCTGTGGGCTGAAGCTTCAGACCTTACAGCTGAGACCTAAACTACTTTCACACTGATATAAATGTTTCATCTATCCATAGAAGTCACATCACAACTATGTAAACCAACTTTCCTTGAACAAAAAAGGCGCTTCCTTATATCAGTATTTTAAATTCAGGAAACACCTTATTTAGTAGACAGATACTACAACTATTAGAAATATATCATTCAAGAGAAACATAAATAGTTACTATACACTAATTTTAATACTGTAAAAAAGCACAGTCAGCAGGTGGAAGGCAGCAGTGCAGACATACACTGAAATTGGTGGCAGCAACTGCGTAGCATCCAGTACAGTGTGAAGGAACGTGTGCGCATGGTACTTTGGTCACAAATGCAGGCAGTTAGTAAACTCTGTGGGCAGTCTATAGAGTACTAGCGCAACAAATATAACATCTAAAAAATTCTCAATAATTTTAAATACGAAATTTACTATTTTGCAAATAAATTGAGGGAAAATATTGATTTTAAACTTAGAAAAAAATACTGTTAGAAAAAATTGTGGCTGTAATTGGACTTCAGATGTTTAGCAGTGGAATTACTTCCTTTTAACTTAAAATGCGTTAATTTTCATGCTTATTCACAACCCAAGAAATAGGTAACATCATGAGAGATACTCTGTGCATTAAAACAAATAAAATTATTTTATTTTGGAGCAATCTTTAAGAAAAACTGATATATTAAACAAAATACAGTCTACCACAGAAAATGTTTACCGCCTCTTAACTGACCTTCTTGAGCGGTTGGAACCATCCAGGTTGTGGTAGCAGTTGCCTTTTTAACACTTTCTATCTCAGTTTCATCTGTAATCACTTCCAGGGCCCCAAATTCATTCACTCTAAACTGTAAGACAAAACCAATGTCATAGAGTATAGTAAAAATTTACTAATACTCTCTTATAGCATCTTCTTCTATTCACCATCATAGTTTTTACATGGTGCCCTCACCATATTATCCAATTTCTACGTTTTTCTGCTTATCCCCAAGGAACCTGAAACAAGCCTTTCTTGTTTCTATCATCACAGAATCACAGAATCTTAGGAGTTGGAAGGGACCTCAAAAGATCATCCAGTCCAACCCCCCTGCCAGAGCAGGATCACCTAAACTAGGTCATACAGGAACGCATCCAGGTTGGCCTTGAATGTGTCCAGAGAAGGAGACTCCACAACCTCTCTGGGCAGCCTGGTCCAGTGCTGTCACCCTCACAGTAAAAAAGTTTTTCCTCATGTTCGCATGGAACCTCCTATGTTCCAGCTTGCACCCATTGCCCCTTGTCCTGTCATTGGACATCAGAGAGAAGAGCCTGGCTCCTTCCTCCTGACACTCACCCTTTACAAATTTATAAACATTAATGAGGTCACCCCTCAGTCTCCTCTTCTCCAACCTAAAGAGACACAGCTCCCTCAGCTGCTCCTCGTAAGGGAGATGCTCCACTCCCTCGATCATCCTTGTGGCTCTGTGCTGGACTCTCTCCAGCAGTTCCCTGTCCTTCTTGAACTGAGGGGCCCAGAATTGAACACAATATTCCAAATGCGGTCTCACCAGGGCAGAGTAGAGGGGAAGGAGAACCTCTCTCGACCTACTAACCACCCCCTTTCTGATACACCCCAGGATGCCATTGGCCTTCTTGGCCGCAAGGGTACATTGCTGGCTTGTGGTCATCACGCAAAATGCAAACTTATTTTGTTACTTAAAAATACTAATTTGTAATAGATATTGATATAGATGCCTCCACATGCAGATCAAAATCTAACTTACACACATTAATCAAAAAATCAGTAACAGAAATTCATGGTAAAATCTCCTAACTACATGCTTTTCATTGCCAGCAAAATAACGCACTCCAGTTACTGAGTATTTTTTCAAGGAAATGGGAACTGAACGTCAAATACAAATGCTTCACAGAGTACAGATATTTCAGCATCCTCCGAGAGCACAGTACTTCTCTGCTGTAAAGTGCACATAAACAAACATCTCAAGGCAGTTTATGAGCTGTTTAATTACACGCTGAACGTGGCATTACTGTCAGCCAGAAGCAAGGCTTCACAATAGCCCACATGCTGTGCTTACACAGGAGCACCAGGAGTCAGATCCATCCTGCTGCCAGCAGAAAAGCATCTTCCAAATGCTGTAACAATTATAGTGCTACCAGATGAAAATAAACCTCAGCTTCCCAGTCACTACGTGGTTTGCAGGCCCAGGTGATTACAGGGGTTGAACTCCAAACAGCGGTCTGTTCATGGTAAGTCTGCTCTCAACAGTGAAGGGCTGCAACTCTCTGAGCTTTGCCACAGAGGACAGGCCTCTAGCAAGTGAGGTGCTCTCACCAACAGAGGTCAACAGGAAAAGTTATGGTTGAGAGAGTTTTTCAAAGCTCCCCAGCACCCACTTGTGTGAATATTCCTTCAGGGCAGTAGCAGGAAGCCTTTTCTTTTCTTTTCTTTTTCTCTAGTAAGGCAACATTACCTTGGGAAAATGAGAAGGGGAAGAATTGCCTGCCACTATGCTGATCTGTGTGCCTACAGAGACTGTGGGATGAATCCTTCCCATTCACTTTGGACCCAGATACAGTACAGTACCAAAAATAAGCCTTTCTGATTGAAAGCAGGATGAAACTCATGACGTACATACCACAACAGTGTGCTTTCACTAATACAGTCCTTCCATTTGCAAAGAGCCACCAGGTCCTAAGGAATGAGAGCAGCTCAGAAATAGTAAGCTGAGCGGAGGGAGAAGAAGAGAAACTCACACAGTCAAATGACTTCCGGAGCCAAGATTTTTACTTGCAATTAGCTACACTCACAACAGATACACCAGTGTGGACAAACTGTCGACAAATCCATCTGGACTGAAAGGCCAGGAGTTCAGCTTTGAAAAGCAACCAAATGCAGTAACACCACATGCTCATACTCCAGTTTGTGTCTTACAGCTGACTTAAGCGCCCAGCCTGACTCCTATTTTGGTTAAGCTCATTTATGCTATTCATGCTTTGCTGCCTCTGCAAAAGGTGGATGCCAGTTCCAGCCAATTCCTTGCTTCCAAGAGCCCTAACTCTGCAACAGCTGGCTCAGCAAGAAGGCTGCAAGCACAGATCAAAACACAGTGCTGTAACTCACCAACCAGCAGGTCAGAGGGAGGTTACTAACCAACTTCTGGAAACTCTCTCGCACCTTCATATAGCATCAGCTGGAACATCCATACACCAAACCTATTTCTGAACAGTCCAATTAATACCTGGAATATTTCCTCATGATCCGATCGATGTTCAGCCCTGACACTATACATACATTCCTCCTCCATCAGGGCCTTCTGTGATATGCAAGGATGTCACCCTAGTTAATGCAGCGACCTGCCAGCCTTTCTGGCTTCAGAGGAATGACTGACAGGCATCAAATGACAAAAGACAGATGACTGCAATGAAGGCTGCTCGCAGCTACCCTTTCACTGGTGACTGTACACGGCAGTGAGAGATGAACCATTAAGGAAGCATCTCTTCAGCAGTTGAGCCACCACACCAAGATGGACTAAGTGATGGAGAGTAAACACTTGCTACTGCCTTAGCAGGCAGGAGGGCATCTGTTCGGATGCAAACATGAAGCAGATGTGTCTAGTTTTGCTCACTGCTTCCCCAGCTACAGCTTTAGCATTACTGTGTACACTGAGCTCTTCATAGCTGACCAGAAAAATGCCTCAGACCTGGGGAGTCGTACTCTGGTTTTAGCTGGGGAGGAAAAGCAATGAAAAACTTGTGACAGAGATTAATTGCTTGAGAACAGGAAAAATAGATGTACAGAGCAGCATGCTGCACAAAGCCACCACGGGGTAAGAGCTGCCAGAGCAATGTGCCAACTAGTGTCTACTGTTGGAAGCATGACAAAAATGTATCTAGAATAATGGTGGTTGATGTGTCTATGAAAAAATTCACCACATTCCTAAGCCTCTTCTACTTGTAAAGTAGGCGACAAAAAAAGTAAAGGTAAAGTTTCTGTCATAATATTTCCTCTAGTTTTGGTGATCCAAGCTAAAATATAGTAAGAGCAGTCCTGTAGCAGGTGATACAGAGGGAAGGAAATGGTGCCATTGAGCTTATTTCTGAGGATGGATTCCTTTTTGAGAAGGAAAAATTTGGTTTTAAGTCACAAAACTCCTTGTAAATATATACATTTGCACTGGATGAAGAGATTTTCCTTAAAATGTGTTCATCAAAGCAAGCAGTAAAATTCCCATTGATGGAAACAAAGTCAGGCCATTATCAAGTAGTTCTTAAACAATCTCACAAAGCAGCCTATTTTTTGTCACTTCAATGTTTAAAAGAGAATGAATTATAAAGATTGATGGGTATGAATTTAATTTACTTGACTTTTGTCAAATGGCTGTTTACAAATTTTAAGTAACTTCTTAAGAAGATAATTCTCTATCCTATCCAATAGTACAAATGGTCTTAAAAGATCAGAAGGCGAAGAAGAAGATAACGAAACCTCAACAGCTTTCACAAGCTAATCTAAAATAAGATAAACAAAAATAAATGTAACACTTGGATAGAAAATTTAACTTTCAAAGTTTCCTGTACAGGTGATCAACAAGGGCAAAAATACACATTTTCAAGTTACTTAAGTTCTTTTAACACAAATATATAATAAACTGAGTTGGCAGGAGAAGTCCAGCTGTTAATGGGCAAGTATACAACTCATAACTTGCTTAGCTGCCTTGTTTAGCAGTTTCCTCAAGGATCAAAAGGGAATTAAACAGCAGCTTCCTTCTAAACATCATTAGAGATTCCTTCCACTCAGAACTGAGATACATTTTCACATTCTTGGGAAATGATGCTCTTATATACTAGGACTTCATTTTATCTGAGTGTTAATTTAATCCCTAGGAACATTTTAATGTTCATTCAACAAATAAAGAACATATTGGCAGAAATCAAGGCTTAAATAAATAATAATCAAACATTATAAATACTTTCTGAACCATTTCTGCCTCTCCATATGCTAAGTTCTTCCACAGGGATCAAAATAATTATCAATAAACATTTTTTTAAAATTAAAATTGCACTAAAATTTACACAGGACTGGAACAAGTATCTTAAATCACTTAGATGAAGCCTTTGCTTACTTCAGGTAACAGTATCATACAAAGTATTTCATAAATGTTTCAGATGCAATAGAGACATAGTCAGATTTTCTGTTACCGGTGCGTCGACTGAAGTCCATTCCTAAATTTCTTTCTCAAAAGATTTTCTTATAACTTTTCATTTACATCTATTCATAGTCAGATTATACCCATTTGTTCTTAACCCAGTATTACCCTATGGATTACATAGCTCTTACTGTTCATAACTTCAAAGCAAGAAATTATGTACCCCCAAACTTGATTTTTTTAGGCTAAGCACAAGCTCCTTCTGTTCTTCCTATCAGCCCATCATTCTTTGCCCACCATGTGCTGGGCTCAACCATGGAAATTCACTTTCTCAGTAAATGTGACTAAGCATCTGCAGTCCCTCTTCTGGTGGCTTTAGGACCTTTCCATTTCTAATGGAAGTTCTTGGCCTGATCATGCTGGCTGGAAGGCACTCTGTAGTTTTATGTAGGGGGAACGATATGTTAAAAGGGCTTTCTGTTCTCTTTCTCCACATTTCATAAAAATACTTTGAGTATGCATCACTATGTGGCATAAAAATAAATTTGCAAACAATGCGAAATGTCTACCATATTGTAGAATTCTTGGAAATTCAAACCTATTGGGAAGAAATATACACAATCTAGTTCCAAATTAAGTCCTCACTATTGCATGTGTCTAATACAGAGCAACAAACATCAGACTATCTCTGCTGTTCCTTGTGC